CCGATAAGTGAAACAACGATATGCTTGGGTCCAAATGACACACTTGTCAACAATGGACGTTTCTGTGTACTTAAGAGAACCATAAATGAAGTTACGGTAAGTAATTACAATCCAACTGTTTTAAAGCTTTGGGAAGCAAACATAGATATTCAACCATGCGGAAATGTTACAGCAGTTGCATATTATATTGCTAAATACGCAAGTAAGTGCGAGCCGCAGGATACAGGAGACGTTGTTAAAGAAGCCGTTTCCCGTGCGAAATGCCGCGGCGGTACCGTCTGGAATCAATTATTTTCGGTATCTATGGCAATTCTGTCCCAACGAATGGTCAGTGCTGCAGAATGTGCTTATCGATTATGCCATCTGCCTCTTAAAATGAGCTCGCGAAAAGCTGTATTTATAAACAGCTGTCGGCCTGAGCAGAGACACAAAATTTTGCGTTTCGAAGGACATGAAACATCATTTTTCAATAATATATTCGATCGTTACGCAAAAGGACCGGACAGTCTAGAGAATTTGAGCTTAGCTGAATTTGCTGTCCGATATGAAACAGTTTCAAGTGGAATGTGGACCGAAGAAGATGGAGACGTAGAACTTAGAAATGACGATGAAGAAATATCGAGGTTGAGGTTTATAATTTTGTAGGGCAATACTCGAATTCAATTTTGAGATAAATTATTCAAATGTTTTTTGATAAGATGATCTTTTTGATAAGATGTTTGTATTAATGTTGCAAATTAATTTTTTGTGTTAAAAATCGAATTTTGATCTGTCAGCTAACTAATACGGATACTTAACTAGTACGTATGAATTTTTATCTTGGAAACTATTTATCGAAATCAGTTAAGTTAAATCTTTTTTCATTTTAATTTTGAATGCTTGGACTATCATAATAATATTTTTTTTCATTGACAAATTAATTTTTTAATATCAGAAATTGTAAATAAATTTGTATTTTTTAAATTTTCGTATAAAATTTAAATACCTAATATCTAATACATATAAATTATGGTGTTGAACGTCGAAAGAGAAATGCATACATTAACAATTCAGTTACATCGTTTATTCGAGTTTTATTTTCTCATTTTACAATTGTTGTAAAATTCTTTCATTACAATTTAAATTATTTACATTTACAATTCTTTCTTTTGAAAATTTCTATTACATTTCCCGAAAAGAATATTACTAATGTCAGTATGGGTAAGACGACTACGCAGTGTACTTAACACATTGTACGCCGGTGGCATCTGAGACATTCAAAGTCTGAGCGCCGGCCCCGTGTCAACCGTCTAAAGCCTGGGCGCCGGCATGATTCGCTTGTTGATGATTCTTCAGATTTTCTGCAATTTACCGTAAAAAAAGTTCTTTTACAGCAAGATTTCGAAGGCAGATTCTACCATTCTTGCAAAATTGAATGTTGATTCCCAGAAGAGAACGATCCAATCGTGTTGCGGAATCGAGCTTCAAGCACAACATTCTGCCTTCGATTTCATTTTTTACTTTGTCTTTTAACTGCACAGCTTCATAGTGCACAAAGTCCCGAATGTTGTGCCGATTAATACTCGTGTTAATGCCATGCTGTGTACGAAGGGCGTAAAAGATAGGGTTGAGGATTTTCCGTAAACCGGAGTCCTCTACTGCAGAATAAGGACGGCCATTAATGGTCGTCATTTCCACCAATGCGTCTATGACGCGGTCTATCCATGGCAATGGCGATGACCGGCTCCTTGCTGGTCTTCCTTTTTCTACTTATGCGACCTTGATTTTCAGCAGCTGCATGTAGGGTTTCCACGAAGGAACTTGATGCGCTTAAACTAGATCCGAGTGTTGAAATTAATAAACTTTCCGTTTCTTCAATATTTGCCATTGAATTAGATTTTTTATTTTTTAGCATCGCAATACGCTTCATGGTAATAATACCATGTTGTACCGAATGTTTGGCGTATATGTGTTTTTGGAGATTCGTGGTGTGTTGAGACTGTAACGGATAATAATTTATGTCATTTTATATGTTACGTATACACAGAGAAGGTTAGCATACACAGATACAGCTTTTATAACAGGAGATAAAAAGAAAATGGTACTTACTTTAATAGCACTTCCACAACCATCAATGTTACAAATTGAAATGTTGTTGTCCTTATTATAATTACAATAAATTCGTACAAATTCATGTGGCCTAATAGCCCGTTTCTTGGCAGGAGGTTCTCGTGTGACTCTTTCTATATCACTACCCGAATCAGACATTTTTAATAAATACGAATATGTCGACTGTACGATCGCGAACTTGTTGTTAAACTGTTCTGTCTGTGCTTATGTTTTTCTCGAAAAAGGAAAACTTGTAGAGTAAGCATCTATGGTGGGATGATAGGAAAAGTAGGAAGGCACTATGCAAAAAAGAGGGAAATTTTAAGTTGTGATTGGATTAAAAGACCTGGGAATTAGCAAGGGTGGAAGCAAGAAGTGGAGGAAGAAATCTGGCAGTAGGGAAACGGTATTTTTTTGGTTTTTCCAGAAATTTTATTGTGGGTCTGTAACGGGCCGCGGACTTGGATTAGGATTCCTAATTAGGAACGATGATTTCGGTCTTGATTTATGGTGGGATGGTAAAGTATATTTTTATATTGCCTTTTGTGAGTCGCAATGTTTCTGAAGTCACACTGTGACCATCACAGGTATCGTAACCCTGTTGTATTATGTGCTGTGCCATCGTACAACGACAACAATACGAAAGCGAAAGCAAATAGATTTTTAATAGGTCTAAAGTGAACTTGTTGAATGTTAGATCGATTCTGATATTTTTCATTTGTTTGCTTTTTGCGCCAGATAAGAACTCACTGGGTCATTCCACACCAAATCGATCACTTTTGGAAGTCATCATCTCCGATTTTGCTCTAATCAAAATATGTTATAGTCCATGTGAAATTAAGAGGGGTTTAGGTCATCATTTCGCCGGAATGACAAGCCTTCAAAGTTTGCAATTTTTGCCCATTTTGGCGAAAATAGGGTCCACTTAGGAATTTTTTTCTCAGAAACTACTCAACCGATTGAGCTAAATTTTTTTTTGTTTTATTCTATTTTAAAATAATTTTTCTAATTCCGCCAGTTTGTTATAAAATGTCGGAAAATTTAAACAAATTCTTTTTTTGCGTTTTTTTCAATGAGGGGCGTAAAGGGTTAACCATAAAAAATATGGTTAAATTTTTTGAAGCTTCCACTTTAAAATGAGCTCTTCAGAACGATGGAGCCACAAAAATTGACGCCTCAACAAGCTGGAACAGGACGCGGGATACCCCAGTTTCAGCTAAGTGAGGCCATGCGCTCCGCTAGACTTTTTATCATGTCGTGTGTGGAGTGTCATCGAGTCTCCACGTCTAACAAGGGTTTGGTGCGTCCTAACCCTGCAAGGACACCAACAGCTATTGGGCTGCGCAGCTTCTTCACATTTCGCATTTTGTGAATTGGCTCTTGGAATTTGCCAAGAGCATCCCACACGGCAAGCTGCAATGTGTGCGCTGCACACCGCTGACTGATAATTCCTGCGGATGGCTCTATTTCTGGCACGTTATCGATAATTTGTGGCCATTCCTCCGCAAGCGCCAAAAGAGTATGGTCCACCGTTTCTTCGTTGGCATCGTTTGATTCCAGGATGTCTTCGATGTCCTCTTCCTTCGATTCTTCACAATCCCCAACTGATACATCTTCACCAAGGAGAGCAACAGATCTTACCATGTTGCGGCCATTGTCAGTAGTAATACTATATACTTGTTCTGAATTTATACGAAAATCTGAGAGTACAGTGAATACTTCGCTCTTCAGATTTTCTGCAATTTGCCGTAAAAAAAGTTCTTTTACAGCAAGATTTTGAAGGCAGATTCTACCATTCTTGCAAAATTGAATGTTGATTCCCAGAAGAGAACGATCCAATCGTGTTGCGGAATCGAGCTTCAAACACAACATTCTGCCTTCGATTTCATTTTTTACTTTTTCTTTTAACTGCACAGCTTCATAGTGCACAAAGTCCCGAATGTTGTGCCGATTAATACTCGTGTTAATGCCATGCTGTGTACGAAGGGCGTAAAGGATAGGGTTGAGGATTTTCCTTAAACCGGAGTCCTCTACTGCAGAATAAGGACGGCCATTAACGGTCGTCATTTCCACCAATGCGTCTATGACGCGGTCTTTATCCATGGCGATGGCGATGACCGGCTCCTTGCTGGTTTTCCTTTTTCTACTTATACGACCTTGATTTTCAGCTGCTGCATGTGAGGTTTCCACGAAGGAACTTGATGCGCTTAAACTAGATCCGAGTGTTGAAATTAATAAACTTTCCGTTTCTTCAATATTTGCCACTGAATTAGATTTTTTATTTTTTAGCATGTCGATACGCTTCATGGTAGTAATACCATGTTGTACCGGATGTTTGGCGTATATGTGTTTTTGGAGATTCGTGGTGTGTTGAGACTGTAACGGATAATAATTTATGTCATTTTATATGTTACGTATACACAGACATGGTTAGCATACAGAGATACAGCTTTTAGAACAGGAGATAAAAAGAAAATGGTACTTACTTTGTTACGCGGGAAAGCGATCAGTTTATGTTTTTAAAAGCTTTATTTCTTAATCACTACACTACTTTACAATGAATACACTTGTCGCAATAGAATGATCTCGCAATACGACTCGTCCGAAACCTGAGCTCTGAGTATCTCGAATGTTTCGCTTCTGAGGATCTGCGTTTATAATATTGTCGCGCGCGCCGGTCTGCTTCTCCTTTTATACTTTTCTTATCTCTTGATTGCGTTGCCGTTTTTGGCTTATCTTGTTTGCGACGTCTGGACCACGCGTTATCTTGTTTATGCCGTTTGACCGGTGAGAACTTTAATAGCACTTCCACAACCATCAATGTTACAAATTGAAATGTTGTTGTCCTTATTATAATTACAATAAATTCGTACAAATTCATGTGGCCTAATGGCCCGTTTCTTTTCATGTGGCCTAATAGCCCGTTTCTTGGCAGGAGGTTCTCGTGTGACTCTTTCTATATCACTACCCGAATCAGACATTTTTAATAAATACGAATATGTCGACTGTACGATCGCGAACTCGCTGTTAACTTGTTCTGTCTGTGCTTATGTTTTTCTCGAAAAAGGAAAACTTGTAGAGTAAGCATCTATGGTGGGATGATAGGAAAAGTAGGAAGGCACTATGCAAAAAAGAGGGAAATTTTAAGTTGTGATTGGATTAAAAGACCTGGGAATTAGCAAGGGTGGAAGCAAGAAGTGGAGGAAGAAATCTGGCAGTAGGGAAACGGTATTTTTTTGGTTTTTCCAGAAATTTTATTGTGGGTCTGTAACGGGCCGCGGACTTGGATTAGGATTCCTAATTAGGAACGATGATTTCGGTCTTGATTTATGGTGGGATGGTAAAGTATATTTTTATATTGCCTTTTGTGAGTCGCAATGTTTCTGAAGTCACACTGTGACCATCACAGGTATCGTAACCCTGTTGTATTATGTGCTGTGCCATCGTACAACGACAACAATACGAAAGCGAAAGCAAATAGATTTTTAATAGGTCGAATGGCAATCACCTGATGTCGTAACTCTTTAGCGTCCTTGATATTATCAGCACCAGCTAGGATGTCATCGACGTAGCGGTGATTCCTCAGGGCCATTGCTGCAAGAGGAAAACGAGCTTCCTCATCGATGGCAAGCTGCTCCATCACGCGAAGTGCCAGGAATAGGGCGGAAGCGGTGCCATAGGTGACAGTGGTTAAGTTGTAATCCTGCACCGGCTCCTCTGGATAGGGGCGCCAAAGAATCCTTTGCCACTGCACATCAGAGGGATGGATCCAAATTTGTCGTATATCTTGACGATGTCAGTGATAAAGACGATGCGAAAGAGTCGCCAACGAGTCAAAACCATCCAAAGGTCAGCCTGCAGCTTGGGCCCCACGCAGAGATAGTCGTTGAGAGACACACCGGAAGAGGACGGCAACGACGCATTAGACACGATCTCAATTTAGCTGAGGGATCGTGCTGTTTAACGACCGCATGGTGTGAGATGTAGTAGCCATTGTCGAAATCCGTCCTATCAGGTACAACCTACAAAGATAAATATTCGGACATGAATGTAGCGTAATCGTTCTTTAGAGACGTGTTGGACGAGAGCTTCCGCTCGCAGTTGAGGAGAAGCTTTAGCGCAAGTGGCCTCGAGGTACCCAGAGCGGCGGCAGGATCTTGGCGAAAAGGTAAGCGAACCATGTATCGCTAGGTAGCATCCCTCTGATAAGTCTCCTGAAAGTGCTGTTCCGCCTTTTCTTCGTCAGGAGAGAGGGGAACCTTCTTTGGGACTTCCTCCAGCTCCCACAAACGCTGTAGTAGTTGCGTGACATGATCTTCTGCCTGACAGTGGTACGAGCGAACGGTGGCGGTTGATGTGAAAGATGTTAAGTCTGTTGGTCCTATCACTACCCAGCCGAGTCAGTTTGGCGATGGGCGATCCTGGAGGACCAGTTCGCGAAGCATCCTGGAAGAGGGTCCCACAGACGTCGGCTCCGAGGATGAGGTCGACTCGGGCGGGCACCCCAAAGTCGGGGTCTGCCATTGTAATGCCCTGAAGATGCGGCCAGGACTCCGACAAAACTTGATGGGCCGGCAGGAATGAGGTAAGCTTTTTTAAGATTAAAGCTCGTACTGGTAGCCGAAACGTGGATTTACTTCGAGGGCGGAGTACCAAATCCACTTCGCCCGTTGCAACTCCACTCCCTTGACTTTGCACGCCGGAAATAGAAACCTTCACCGCCCGCCGTGGCAAACGCAGCGCCTGAGCCACCCACTCAGTTACTAGAGATGCGTCCGATCCGGTGTCGAGTAGCGCTCGGACCTCCACCTTTTGTCCTGATGGAGCTTCTAGAAGGACTCGAGCGGTGGCTAGAAGAACGGTTGTCCTGGGGTGTGAAGAGAGCGATAGCGAGGTGGCCGACTGTCTAGGGTCCTCCGCGCATGAACTGGTACTGGTTGAAGCAAAATGAGTGGGGCCAGCGCGTGTTGTCGAAGGTACCAGCTCTCCAACAAAGGCCTCGTGCAACAGCGTGTGATGGAGTTTGCTGCAAGCTAGACAACTTTACTTAGAATTGCACTTACTCAACTCATGACCAGTACCCAGGCAGTTTAAGCAGACTCGAAGCGAACACGTGCGATCCTTCCGTTTAAGAGGTGGAAGAGCCTTAAACTTGGCGCAATAACCCGCATTAGACCCGTGACCGTTTTCTAACGTTCGCCGCGTTCGGCATTCCGTCACACTCACACACGCACTCATACACGTGCGCATACCCGGGTCGACGCACTCGCTGGTAACAACTTCGTTCGGACAGCTGTTTCACGTATTTTTGCGGCGTGACCGTTGCCGCTGTCCTCCTACATTATTTTAACTAATAGTACTACATAGTACTTACAATTAAACGATTTAAATTTAATATACCGAGAAGTTTACTGAACGTGACCATGAGGTCGAACATAACCTACGCGACTTAGAAACTAACATGTACAATTAATCTTCGGCGTTTATCGAAATAGGAAGAAAATAGATTTTTGTTAAGGGCCGCTTGTACCGCGATTATGCGGTTTTAATTGTCACGACCCGAACCAGTCCATCGTCCTCTGGGTGACACTCTACAATTCGTTCACGGTCCCATTGACCGGAAGGTAGATTCGGATTGTAAATTAGTACAAGTTGTCCTACCTTGTCGAGGTTTTGCACAGTTTACCATTTCGCGGTCGTTGGTGCAGCGTATATGAAGGTAAACATTTTACCATGCTTTTTCAAAATGATTTAGTCAGCCTTTGCAATAGTTACCAACGCGATAAACGATTTCCATTAATGTCTAGGCTACTTGATTCCGAACTGGCTATCAAAGGAGTGTCAATTAGAAAATGACCTGGGCTTAAAATTGACATATTGTGCTATTTGTGCTACACGGTATTTCGCGGCTAGCTCGGTAATGGCCCGCGACCCCGCTTTGCCCGCGAATTCTCGATCGACCCTTCCTGACCGTGCCCGCGACGATGACCGTCTCGGCGCCTCCGCGGATTCGCGCGCGCGTAGCACTTCGGCGCCCGATCCGAATCCGTTCGATATCGCTTTATTTAATTTGATAATTGGGCGCCAGACGCTTCTCAGCGTCGCGATAAAGAACTTAGACGCGAGACGAGACTCTAGAGTGGGAAGAAGGGAAAATCGTTTATGTCAACCTCGGGAAAACGCTGAAGACTCGAATCGGCGGCGGAACGGCTCAGTAGCTCAGTATCCGTACACAATGGTAGAGTGGCGGGGTTCTTACAGGGTAAGGAGGCTAGACGTGAAAGCGGATTTGAGGGAATTTCCCCGGGATAATTCGTAAGAGACCTCGACTCAGCAGGATTTAGTAAAAGCAGCGCTGTTTATTGTAAATCTAATTAATCTAGGTGATGAACAGTATGATTCCGTATCCCGACCATCAACTCGTTCCTTAATGCTTAGCAAATGACCGATGTCCGAGATTCTAGTCCCGAGAACGGGAAATGCGCGATACAGTCGTCGATTTAGTGTCGATTTTCGGAATGATACGCGACGCAATTATCTATAACGCAACTCTAGTAACTAAACGAAACGCGACACAATTATCCTAACACAATATAACGCGACGAAACGCAAATATTCTAAACGCACGGAATCTAGCGCAATTAAACTAAACGCGGCGCGACTTATTCTTACGCACGAATCGATTCTGTATCGACGACCGTCTAGAAAGAGAAGGCGAGAACTAGCGCGACAAACCACGAAATGTCCGATACGACAAAACATGCACTTTCCGATCTGTTCCCGCGACAATGAGAATACGAAATGGAGACGTGGGAGGGCATAATATTGGCAACGGCTTTTGCGAGACTAAGAAACTAAATTGTGGCTGACGCGGTACCAATCCCTTGATCGCTTCTCGATCTTCCTAAAAGCCACACTCGGCAGGTCACTGAATCGGACCTGGGGGATTGGTACCGCGTCAGCCACAATTTATCCTATTTCACGATACTTCCGAAATTTCCCGAATTACTTAACCTAATTACTAACTAACGATCAATGCCGACACTCCGGCCATATTTTGCAGAACCGGCCGGTGATTGGCACGCCCGGTGGTCGACAACCCACGGTACGTTATTCTCGATTTCGTATCCTTTACAACGATATAAGGTGAGGGGCTTACCGAGATGTCCGGTACTGGCGGTTATTCGTTAAGCGGCAGCGGTAGGTCGTGATTGGAAGCTTAGACTATTTTCGAAAACACCGTAATAGGGCAAATGCCGAATACAGAATGCTGAACGCGTGCCCTTATGCTGGTATTCGGACACCTCGTGATCACCCCCACCCTAGGCCGAAGTCTCCGTCTTCTCGCGAAGGCATATTCGGCAGGACCTCCTCTTGCTCCGCGACCTCTCTTCCTTTATCGCAGATTCTCAGCGGGGTAGCGGCAGGCCAGCGGAACCTTCCTTAGGCGTACGTCGGTCTCTCGCAGGCCTTCCTCCCGTTACTCCGCTGCCTCTCTTGGTCTATTGCCCGATCCGAGCGGGGCAGCGGCAGGGTAGCGGTGCGTTCCCTCGGCGTACGTTGTTCCTTCGCTGGTGATGACGTCGTTACCCGGTGTTACATACAAAATAAAGCAGCGACAGATTCTGTTCGTACGATATATTACGTGCGCTTTGTTCTTTCTCTAGACGGTTTTTGCCCCTTATGTATTGACTGTCCGGTTCTCCGAGGAGGTTCTTTGTGACGGGTATAAAATACCACGTCACACAGGAAGTTATTTTATTTTTGAGTTGTTTAAATTTTTCTGTACTCAAAGGTTTCGTTAATATGTCAGCCATTTGTTCGTCAGTAGGACAGTATTCTAAACCTATTACACCTTCAGTATATTTTTCACTTATAAAGTGAAACCTAACGTCTATGTGTTGCTTCTTCTGTTTTAATTAAATAATTCCACACACACCAGAATGTGAATAAAGACGGTTATATATTTGACAAAAGACGATATACAATAAATATAAGATTTGAAAAGCCGATGGAATGCTCACGAAAACAATGCTAATACATGCGACAGTGCGAGACTAACTACTTTTAAAATACGGACGGTTTCAAAAGGTGACCCGTCGTTTGCTTCGTGCAAACCGTTACCTCACGACCTTCGCTATCCTCAACACTTCCCCTAGAAGTCATGAGTCAGCTCTCACTTCATGTAACGATTGTTCCCATATTCCATAAGCATTCCAGATGTTTTGGCCCACTCAGACCTTTCGTAAATACATCCGCGGGCATTCTTTCAGTATACAAATATTTCAACCCTTTGCGGACGGAGCTGTTCGACGGGCGAGCGTCGCTGTGGACGAGAGGTAGTGGAGTGCAGAGTAAAGAAAATAAATACGTTGAACGTTATAAAAACTAAGGCTTTATTTAACACAAAAAAATTGTTCATAAAATTCAAAAAAAGTTGTAAATAAATAAATTAAAAAAAAAACAAAAGAAGTTTGGTTGTGTTTATATATACGTTTTACATTCCGGCATTGTGTGGTATCGGGCAAAACAGTCACCTATGTGTAAGGCCAGTTGAGCCGTACAAGTTGCACAATAATATCTCGACTCTCTCCTTCCATGCCTTTTCGATTAGTACACACTACACAGTCTTTACTCCTTCCTGTATCATCTCATCGAATAATGTGTAAAAGACCGTTCAGCCTTTCTGCTGTTGCAAAAGTCGGAGGATTATTAGGTTCAGAATCCCGAAAATCTCCAACCAATTGGCCCACCAAACAACGTACAAATTGTAGATGTGTTAACTTTCTTATATTGTGCTTCTTCTCATGTTCCCGATATAATAGGTACGAATTTATGATTGAGACTTCCAAGCCCCAAAAAAATTATTTCCTCCACCATTTTTGGGACTTCCGCATGAAGCAGTACGTGCCTGTATACTGGTCAGCTTTGTCTACCCCGCCCATATATTTATTATAATTTATGACCACATCTGGCTTCACAATATTAGTTCTTCCTTCATTGCGTGACCTTTTCGTGACTGTTTGTGAAGATGAGGTGGCACAGGTACTGAGCATTGTCACAACACGCTTGTCCCTCCAAGCCAGTAATAATGTGTTTTTTCGTCTGTAGGCAACGATTTCATTTTTTGCAATTTTTGGATTTTTTATTTCGGGTAGAATAAATTTCCTATTCGTTTGGATTGCTCCCGTTATATAGCATTTCATTTTAAGTAATGCATCGGACAATGGAATGCTTGTAAAGTATCGGTCGTTGTAAATGTGGTATCCCGAAGCGTCAGGGGTCGATTGTAAATAAATGGTGGTACAGTTGCAAAACTATTCTTGTACTTATTGGGAGATCAGGTCTAACTAATTTCTCAGTGGTAAAACTGCCATAATATGGTAAAATGGTTTGTACGTAACCAACATTGGCGTCCGCAAGCACATAAATGCGGATACCCCACTTGGTTGGTTTTTGCGGGTTGTATGTAATGAAACTTACTCTCCCCTTAAATTTTACAATTGATTCATCTACAGATAACTCCGGCCCGGTACAAAATTTTCACATCTGCTATTAATATAATCTAAAAAATTACTA